GATAAGGAGACTACTGCAGTGCTTTGGCTTATTCTGTGAACTCTAAAATAATCCAACATCCCCGTATAGCAACGAAAGAAAACAGACCTCTGTCATTAAGCGTTTGAGCCCTTCTACCTCATCTTCTCCGGGATTGAGTTCACCACCAGGTCTGTTAAAATAATCAATGAGGAAAGGCAGAGTTATGTTACGGTGCATTTACAGATTTCCACAGGTAAGTTTGGATGTGCCTCCAGGCAGGGAGTTACAAATCCACTCAAAGCCCTTAAATCAGAAGATCCAAATCCAACTGTCGAATGTGAAGACAGCAGGAAAGCTTTCACCAAACCCACGTCTCAAATGATTACTCTATGTCCCTTAACAAAAACCACCCGTTATATAAAACACTTTAACTTCAGCAGGACAAGGTATAACAATATACATGATAATAACTGGGACACTCAAAAGGTAAAGTTTTAACAATAATGTAAAAGCATAACAAGTTGAAGAAAAGGTTGCAAATACTGACAAGTATTTGTTCTGATCTCAAAACCAGCACTCGCTGAAGCACACGGGAAGCAGAAAAACAAAACTCATGTGGGAAACCATCCTCTATTCGATGCAAGGTTAATGAAAAAAACTGAAAACATATTTTCATCATTACAAATTTTTTAAAAACTTGTCGAGTCCAGCCTGTTTTGCCCACTCACATCCCCTAAGTCAAGATGTCAAAAAAGAACCCAGATAAAACATTAGATTTCACACACACACAATTCACAACAAACAATAACAAGGAGAATAACAACAACAACACAACAACAAACAAGGAGAATAACTTGAGACAAGTCAGCCCCATTCAGTTTTTTAAAAAAAAGTAAACAAGCACCACCACCATGACTATAATCATATAGAATCACAGAATGGTTCGGGTTGGAAGGAACCTTAAAGAGCATTTTGTTCCAAGCCCCTGTCCTGGGCAGGGACACGTCCCATCAGACCAGGTTGCTCCAAGCCCCGTCCAACCTGGCCTCTAACACCCACTAAAATTTCACTCTGGCACTGATAACCATCAGATGAACTGCAGCAATTTTCTCAAACTCAGAAGCCTACCTTTCCTGCTCTACCCAGCTCAACCAGCAGTTTGAAAACACGTATCATTCTGCATTTTCTAGGGTTTATTCCTTGAGCTTCTCTTTACCATTTTTTTTATGGCCACAGCATAAGCACATTTAAGCAGAACAGCTTTCGCAGTGTAAAAACAACACATTTAACTACTGATAATAAGTGTTAAACAGGATTTTACCAGTGATGCACTGCAACTAAGATTTCCAGCTGGTTCAAAACTGTCACCCCGCTCACGAGCGGAGTCAGGCAAATAGATCTGAGATGAAATGTATTCATTCCCACAGGAAGTCTTTGCAAAAAATAAATCTCATTCAAACATCCACCAGCCAACAGCACTTTAACCCGCGTGTGTGACCATAATGTTAAACTACAGGTTACATTGAAGAAATAAGACACTTACAGCTTGAAAAAAGTTGTCCCCAGCTGCAGTAAGAGCACGTGGGGCAGCCTGTGCTCGTGGACAATCAGAACCCCTTCCACCGTCCGCCTCATGCCGATCTTGTCAAACTCCTCCCTCATGCGCTGGAACCGAGCTGCCACCGAGCTGTCCTTCTCGTACAGGGGCTCCTTGGTACCAAACGTGTAATTTGTCAGAGGATACCTGTCAGGGGGAAGAAAATACCTTACTGCATAGCACGACATCTAAATGTAAATCACTGCGACACAGCATCCACCCTGAGGCAGAACCTTCTGTGCCCGATGGAACGGTATCTCATTCACAGCACTGGGCCAGAAGTTCTGGTTTGTGATTTACAGGACCCCTGTCGCACCAAGATCTGCACACACCAGTGCAGAAAGCCCTGCCGATCGACACGCCAGCGTGGTGCCTGCTCAGAAGGAAAGAAGCCCAGAAGAACCAGCAGCAGCTGTTATTCAACAGCCACCCTTCTTTGATCTCCGCAGCGCAGAGAAAAGGCAGCCGAGGCTCTGGGAGGAGCTGGGAAAGGGACAGGAGAGAAAAGCTCTGCTGGGAAGGAAGGAAGCTGCACAGGACAGTGCTTTTTCTGCCAAAGTAAATGAAAAGCCTGGAGAACTAAACTGTCAGAAGTGGTTTTGTTTTGAAGTGGGAAATCAGACATCTGGATCGCAGAAGAGGAGAAGTGCTGAGTGTCTGAGGGCAGGGCTGGAGCCTGGGGTAAGATGAGGAGTTTGAGCAGATCCCTGCAGGGCTGGGTGCTGGGCCTTTGCCTCCTCTAGCGACAGCACAGGGGAAACTCCAGAGATTGCCCGAGGGAAGAGGGACTGGGAAGAGTCAGAAAAGAAAGGAAAGCTCCGGCAAGAAATTGGTCAGTCCCAGAGAGCACGGAGGGCAACAGGGAAGTATTATTGTAAAACAGAATCCAAGTACCACAGAGATCTGACAGCACAAGGCCTGGAGGGAAGACAGAATCGTCAAAAAGGGAGAGGAAAATGGGTTCTGGGCAGAGCAGTAACAAGTTCTCACCACGGTTTTATTGACTTGTGGCGTACAGCAACTGAATTAACTGATCAAAAGACTGATTTAGTGGGCAATTCCTTCCTTAAGATGCATCTCATCATGTATTGTAATCCCTCTCCAATGCTTAACCATGTCAAATTTAAGTAGCATACACTCTTCTCCCACTCAACCCCCTTCCCCTCCAAATCTTCCACAGGTTTTACAGTGGCAAAATCACAACCCAGCTGCAGTTGTTGGAGCCCTTTCTCTTGTACACAAGGAAGCCAAAACAACCAGTTTCCTAACTGCAGGTTAATTTATTAGCCAGCTCCCCTCCTTTCACTTATGGCTTAAAACCATCTACATTTCTTTTTCCATTAATTTCCATTTCTAGATACACAAATAGATTTATTAATAATCTAGTCTGCTAACCCATACTATACTAGTGGCTGTACATTAGCCTATACATCAAAACCCTTTAGCCTACACTTTAAAAAGACAAAATGATGCTGATAACACAGTTTCCTGCCAAGGCTTTTTTTCAGAAACAATACAAAAATATTCCAGTTTCTGAAGCTCATAGTTGAACTTCCACAAGACTCCTTCTAACTGTGAATAAACTCAGCTATACCAAAAAAATACAAGAGTCTGTGATTAATAGCTAAAATTAAATACTGATTTTTGTACTTAACTTTTTTTTATAGTTAACAAGTTTCTGCAGCTTGACAGATGCACTTATAAAAAAATGCATCCATCTGAGTTTACTGCAAGAAGCTCAGTACATGGCTTCTTACACCAATAAAGTAAATCTTCCTCACAAATAGTTTGTATCTCAGGCAGAAGTTAAGTTTTCTCCGGTAGCAACCACTCTGAATTTAAATTACAACACCTGCACCAGACAGCCAGCAGACACCAGGCACACGCAGCCACATCCTACTGACTACAGGGGGTAAGCCCATAACCCATCCAGGCCAAAAGCCTGTTTCTCTCTCTGCCAGCAAAGAGCATACCAGATGAGAAGCACGTGTGATGTTCACCACACCTAAATACTCCCTGACTTTGTTATTGGGGGTTCACACTTTATAGAATGGTTTGGGTTGGAAGGGACCTCAAAGCCCACCCAGTGCCACCCCCTGCCCTGGGCAGGGACACCTCCCACCACACCAGGTGGCTCCAAGCCCCCTCCAACCTGCCCTTGAACCCCTCCAGGGATGGGGCAGCCACAGCTTCTCTGGCCAACCTGGGCCAGGCTCTCACCACCCTCCCACCAAACAAGTTCTTCCCCACAGCTCAGCTCCATCTCCCCTCTTTCAGGCTCAAACCCTTCCCCCTCCTCCTAAGGCTCCCCTCCCTGATCCAGAGTCCCTCCCCAGCTTTCCTGGAGCCTCTTGAGGGACTGGAAGGGGCTGGAAGGTCTCCCCGGAGCCTTCTCTTCTCCAGGCTGAACGTCCCCAACTCTCTCAGCCCCCCCTCCCAGCAGAGGGGCTCCAGCCCTCCCAGCATCTCCATGGCCCTCCTTGATACCAATATATCCACCCTCAGATGGCACCACCTGGGGATCAAGGGCCGTGGTGCAGACCAGGGGACTGTCTCTTTCCTCCAGGGATGGGGCAGCCACAGCTTCTCTGGCCAACCTGGGCCAGGCTCTCACCACCCTCCCACCAAACAAGTTCTTCCCCACAGCTCAGCTCCATCTCCCCTCTTCCAGTGTCAAACCCTTCCCCCTTTTGCTGTGGCTCCCCTCCCTGATCCAGAGTCCCTCCCCAGCTTTCCTGGAGCCCCTTTATGGATTGGAACGCGCCGTTCTGGCGATGGCTAGCAACCTTTCGGTACCCACAACACCCTATAGCGTGGCGCCCCACAAGCTTAACAGCCCGCCCTTGCAGGGGCCAACAGACCCCTGGCCGGCAACCGGGCCCTCCCGCCACTCCCCCTTCAGTCCCCGGGCCGGGACGGCCCCCGCAGCGCCGGTGCTGAGGGAAAACCCCCCTACAGGCGGACCCAAGGGCAGCCCCGGGGGTGCGAAGGGAGCGGGGAAGGGCTCGTTAACGGGACGGGCCCGGGCGGGCCTGAGGCGGCGCTCACAGGTTGATGGTCCTCTCCAGCGTGAGCGGCTTCGTCTGCTGGATGTATTTGTTGCCGAACTGGTTCACCCCGCGGGGCCAGCCGGTCTGCGAGCGGTTGGGCGGCACCACGGACATGGCGGCGGGAAAGCGGTCAGCGCTCAGCGGCGGGAACGGCGTCCGCCATTAACCTCCCCGCCAGGCCCCACACCCGCCGGAAACCGCCCTGCCGCGCTTCCGCCGCCACCACCATAGAGAGGGGACCGCTCTGCCCTGTCCCGCCCTCTCATTGGCACTCTGCCGCCTCGCCCCGCCCTCCCGCTTCGCCCTGATTGGTCAGCGCAGCGCGCCCGGCGCCATCCGATTAGCCCGGCGGGCCGAGCGGTGCCTGCTGGGAGTTGTAGTCCGGCAGGGCCGTCAAGCACCATGAGCACCAAGCGGCGCCGCGCCTCACCGGTGGCGGCGGGGAAGAAGCGGGGGAAGCGAGAGCCACCCGCCGAGCTCTGCGCCGCCCTGAGGGACGCGGCGCTGCGGGAGCGGGCGGCGGCGGCCTGGGGCGGCGGGGAGCCGCTCCGCCACGGTACGGCCTCGTTTCCCCGCGGCGCGGCCTACGCGGCGGCGGCGGGTCCTCGCCTCCCCTCACCGGCGGCATTTCCCTCACAGAGGCGGCGGCGGTGGAGCAGGCCCCGTTCCGGCACGGCGTTATCCCCGGCTTCCTGGCGAGCCCGGCCTCGGCGGAGGCGCTGCGAGACGAGCTGTTGAGCCTCAGCTTCCACCGGCGGCGCAACGATCTCCTCTCGCTGCGGCAGGTGGGCCCCGGGCCGGGCCGGGCCGCGCCGGGGTGGGCTCCGCCGCCCTAACCCCCGTCCCTTCTTCTCTTCCATGGGCCGCCGCAGTCCGAGGAGCTGGGGGGAAGGACGGAGCCCCATGTCGCCGCGCTGAGGTAAAGCTGCTGGGCTGGGGACTTTGCCAGCTCCCGGTGAGCTCGGGGAGGGGAAGAGCCCCGGCCCGCTCCCCGGGAGAGGTGAGAGCTGTGGCCACCTCTTGCCAGAAACCGGCCCTGAAGAGGTGACTCTGTGTAGGTCGCAGCCCTGAAGTCAGTTAAGGGCTCCCCTCTGAGCACCGCGCGCTGATTCAGCCCTCGCGTTATCTGTCACTCCTGTCACTTCCAGCTCACCGCTGGTTATCGTCAGAGGTGGTGGAAACGCCGGGCTGTTTCCCGGGCTGGCTCCCGTGTGGTGCTACAGGAACAGGGTGTCTCTGCTGGGAACAGCACCCTCAGCTTCCCTGGAGGGGTTCAAGGGCAGGTTGGAGGGGGCTTGGAGCAACCTGGTGCGGTGGGAGGTGTCCCTGCACAGGGCAGGGGGTGGCACTGGGGGGCCTTTGAGCTCCCTTCCAACCCAAACCATTCTGTGATCCTATGACTGAATAGTTGGAAGGGAGATGATAAACTGTGGTGATGTTTTGTAACACGTGAGGGTGCTTACCATGTGTGCCTGGCTTCCCAGGCATGCTCTGTGTGAAGAATTCCGAGGGTGGCTTTCTGCTGTGACCCAGATTGAGCTGGAGCCCACTATTGACATCTCCTGTGCCAAATACGAATATACGGGTCAGTCTATACACACTGCTTCTCCCAAAGCTGCTACGGCTCTATAGGAAACTACAAAATACCTAATTACATAAAGCCCCCACAGCCCCTTTCTAGTTCCAGAGGGTGCTAGAAGCTATCAGCAAATCAAAAATGAAGTCCCAATTACGGAAAAAAAAAAAAAAAAGCGCCCTGTTGCTGTAGTCACGTTGCTGATGGCTTTAACTGGACCCAGCCTTGCTGCACGCCCCCGTCCTTTCAGAGTCATGCAGCCCGTGTTTGCACGCCCGCTGCTGTGCAAAGGGGTGATGTCTTCAGCTTCCAGTTGAGTTTGTGAAGCCCCATGCTAAGCTGTGACCTGGGCGAGTCCAGGTTACAACTGCACCTCCCCTTTTGGCCATGAAAAAAATCACTGTAGGAAGGGGAAAATTTTTCCTGCTGTCGACTCTACTTTTGTGCAATGACTCGTTGGTCCAGCTTTTCTGTTCCCAGGGCTCCCCCTCTATTCCAGCAACAAACCTACTCAAAGGGCAGTGCTGTATTTAAAAGAGCTTGAATCGTTATTTCATTCAGGAATCTCTGTCTGCTGTGCTCCACGGCGGCTGTGGGGGGGTGGGTGACAAGTTACAACTGCCCCTACCTTCAGAGCGGGCTGATCTGCTGATTGTAGTGCAATCCTGCAGAAATTAATCTTGCCAAATCTTGGGCTGGTGATGCTGACGAGTGAAAAATGCAGTTCTTGGAAAGGGCATGTTTTCTCTTGTCGTGCTCTTGTGGGGACAAAGCTGGGGAGCAGCTCTGCGGGGCCTGACTCAGGGGTGTGCTGGCACGGCGCCGCTGGCTGCAGCGAGAGGTGTGTGGTTGCAGATGTCTTGCTGTGCCACGACGACGAGCTGGAGGGTCGGAGAATTGCCTTCATCCTCTACCTGGTGCCACCCTGGGAGAGCAGCGACGGGGGAACGCTGGACCTGTACAGCTCCGACGGTAAGAGCTGCGAGCCCAGCCTTCTTAGAGGGCTGAAAAACGATGTTTGTGCTCCCCCTTGCAGCAGCTCTCTCTTCAAACAGGGCAGAGTTTCTCCTTTGTCCAGAGAAGCTGGTAAAATTATATAGAGATGGGCAGTAGGGGGCTTTGCAGGCAGTCCTAATGGGTGGCAGCAGAGGAACAGGAGAAGTTAATGAAAAGGGAAATCCCTTTTTTTCCATAATTTTTTTTTTTTTCCCCAAGGGCTGAGAGTAGAGGCAGGATGGAAGCGATGCCAGTAACTGTGCTTGGAACTCTAAAGTGCTGGAGATGATAACTTTTCTTTCCACCAGCAAAAGTCCACCGATTCCTCATCAAATCCTTGCTCCCAGCTCCATCCCTTACACCCAGGTGTCTGGCCAGTCCCAATGTCATGAAGTCAAAGAGAAATAGCAGTAATTTTTTTTTTTTTCCCCAAGGGCTGAGAGTAGAGGCAGGATGGAAGCGATGCCAGTAACTGTGCTTGGAACTCTAAAGTGCTGGAGATGATAACTTTTCTTTCCACCAGCAAAAGTCCACCGATTCCTCATCAAATCCTTGCTCCCAGCTCCATCCCTTACACCCAGGTGTCTGGCCAGTCCCAATGTCATGAAGTCAAAGAGAAATAGCAGTTTCTAGTGAGTTCCAGTTCATGTCTTAACCGGAGTCTGTGTTCTTCCTCCTCAGAACACTTTCAGCCACAGCACATCGTCAAGTCATTAGTGCCTTCGTGGAACACACTGGTTTTCTTTGAAGTGTCTCCAGTCTCTTTCCACCAGGCAAGGAGCTGTCTTTTGTTCATTTTTTTGATTCTCATTGTTGTGGTTATTCATTCCGTGCGTTATTACAGTCCTGGTGGGGAGGAAGAAGGGAAAGGGAGAAGTGTGGGTAGAATGGGCACTCGTGTGTGAAGGGCAGGACTCGGAGGAGGACAAGAACTGAGAAAGCCAACTTCAAACTGCCAGTCCAGCATTCTGGGGGAAGAAGAATTAAAGGGGTTGCCCACCAGAGTCTTTAACTGCTAGGGCCAGGGTCCCTTGGCAGCAGGTGACTCCAGGGAGCCAACGGGTGCCCCTTGAAACTCCACGCACACACAGAGCCAGCAGATTTCATAAAAGTAAATAATTTAACTGAAAGCTCCAGGCGCTGGGTCAGGCCGGGCTGGGTGCCTCCAGAGAGGGAGGATGAACAGAGAAGTCCCTGGGCAATTATACCCACAGGATCTACGTACGTGCCATTCATGCAACTTTTAGTCCAATGGTGATTTTTGGTCTGGGATCTTCTGACACTTTACTGAATTCTTTTTCTGTGTCCAGGCGGGCCACTCACTACTTTATCTTGTTGATTTGCAGTCTCTGCTGGGGGTTGTCACCTCCTTGTTTTCTGGTTTGTGCTTCGTGTGCACCTGTGCTCTCTGGCAGAACACGGGGAACTGAAAAAATCCCAGATTTTGGGAAAAACACTGCCAAAGCCATCAGTGTGTTATCGACGTTTACCTCACGCTAAAAGACTAAACACAGCACCGTACTGGCTGCTAGGAAAATTACTAAGAAAATTAACTCTATTGCAGCCTAAAGGCTTCAGCAAATCTCCCTGCTCATGCTAAGTAAAGCTAGGCAAACAGCATCAATCACACCATATTATAACCCTAAGTCATTTATTCTAATTAAAACTTACTTATTTAAGCTAAACAACTAATATCACTCAACAGCTGTTGGTTTGGCTGCGGTGACGAGAGAGGTTTTTGTTTGTTTGCTTGTTTTAAAGTAGCTCACAGTGCAGATGCTGTGACACTGCACAAGATTCGGCTTTACCCTCTCTCTAACACAGATGTAACGGGGTTCCCCTGTGCCAGAAACACTGATATGGTTAAGTAGGACTTTGTAGCACTTACCAGAAAGGAGCCTGGAAACAGGATGAATAAGTGTGGGGAACGACAGGATCTGGAGTCTGAAACTCATCCTCGGGCTGTAACAATCAGGGCCAAAGAGCAGGAGGTTAGAGAGGAAGGTCAGTGATGGAGGTTGGGTACATCCTCAGCTAGACCGCTTGGGGTTTCACTTCTGGGTCATTTATGTCTTACATAAATATATAAATAACAGAAGCATCTACTTGGTCACTGCCCTGATTGTTTTCAGGGAGTCATAAAAATCCACATTCCTCTTAGCCTCGTGACTGCCTCCTACTGACCTAAACTTAATCACACCTCATTGTTTTCAGGGAGTCATAAAAATCCACGTTCCTCTTGGCCTTGTGACTGCCTCCTACTGACCTAAACTTAATCCCACGTGTTGGCACTATCCAGTCCTGTGCCCTCTCTCTGATAACGGGGTTCCCCTGTGCCAGAAACACTGATATGGTTAAGTAGGACTTTGTAGCACTTACCAGAAAGGAGCCAGGATCTGGAATCTGAAACTCATCCTCGGGCTGTAAAAGCCTTTACAGCCTCAAATCCCTCTCAGACATTGGGTGAAGAGCATTTAGTCACTAATTCCTAACAGATCCGTGGTGTATGAAAGGGCCACTCACTCCAGCTCTCAAACAAACAATAGGAGCCAAAAACCTTTCAGAACAAACTCTGTTTCTTCCTCCTGTTCTAAAAACAAAACAAACAAACAAAAAACCCAGTGCAAAGACTTGATGTGCTATTCAGAAATGTACAGTTTGTGGCTTGCAACCAGTCGTAAGGGGGTGGCTTTCTTTTCACACTGCCATAACAGCACAGTGGCCTAGAATGTGAAATTGTTCCATTTAGCCCATTTTACCTCAGTGTGCAGTTTGATGAAATCAAGGTTTAGCTGCCCATCACTCCGCAAAAGCCAAGGGTTCCCACAGACCAGGTAAAAAGCCAGGACAGAGGGGTTGCTCTCAGTCTGACGGATAGATAGACCTTTAATCCAGGGGCAAAAGCATCAGGCAAATGCTCATGATGAAGGCTTGTATTTCAGCACTTTTTAAAAATTAAAAGACAAAAAAGTAGATGGATACAGTCTGCAGTGACCCACAGATGCTCGGTGTTTGCTGAGTTTCCAGGTGAAGCTGTGACAGCTAATTTTTGCAGCCTATGGTAGCTGGTTCTTCAACACCACAAAAGGGAGGAAACTAAAATGCCACTGCCTTTAATAATGGAATGACTCACAGCTCTCAGAGAGAAGGAATGGATTCTGCTGGGAGCTTGGAATAAAAGCTTGCACTGGGATTCTGGAAACCTGCAACGGACTTGAGCATCAAAATTTGCTTAAAACCCTCTTTCTGTAAGCCAGGAATAACCCAGCCTGGTCTAGCCCTTGTCTGATTTCTCTGTGTGCGTGGCAGGCTCTCCGGGGTCTCTGCGGTGCCTGTCACCAGCTGGTCCTCACACGGTTTGTGCTCTGAACACTGACACGCTGCCCCGCGTTGTTCCAGGTGTCGGAAGTCCTGTCAGAGGAGAAGTGCCGCTTGTCGGTGAGCGGCTGGTTCCACGGCCCCCCCGTCCTCAGACCCGCACGTCACGTCGAAGCCCCCCTGCCCCGGAGCCCACACATCCCCTACGACGTGAGTAACAACCCCCACTTCTGCTGCTCTGCTTTTTTCTTTCTTTCATATCCCCGAAATACCTGTTACGGGATGCGCTGATGCTTGGGGATGCTTTAAACTTTAACTTATCCATCTTTTTTAAATTTTTTTTTTCCTTTCCTCTCCATAAATTCATAGCTGGTTTCTTTCTTGTATTCCCTTCTCAACTCTGTACGTGTTGCATGCCTGCAGTAGTGCAGAGAAGGCAGCAAATGCTCATGGTGCACTTGAAAACAACAAAAAAAGAAAGGAAGGGAGCGTGTGTGTGGAGGGATCCAGCCCTGCCGCCGGCTGGGGAAGGGGAGACTAGGGAATCCTTTTCATTTTTCCAAATCCAACATTCAAATCCATTTCCCTTCCAGCATGAAATCTTGTATGAGTGGATCAATCCGGTTTATTTGGACATGGACTCCCAAGCTCAAATCCAGGAGGAATTTGAGGAGCGATCAGAAATTCTCCTGAAGGATTTTCTACAGGTGAGCCCAGCGGTTCAATCTGATGTGGTCTCCGGGACAGGTCACGGGGCTGGCAGGTGCCACGTGTCACTCAGGCTGGGAAAGCCCTTCCTTGTCCCCCTGTCAACTTCTTAGTTTCACTCCCTGCTCAGGGAATGGACCAGATGAGCTCCAGAGGTCCCTTCCAGCCTCAACCATTCTGTGATTCTGTGGGTGGATTCCCTCTGCAGGACTCACCAAAAATCAAACACTTCAACATTCCCGTTTCCTACAAGAAGCAAAGCAGGAGGATGCAGACACCTCATCCTTCCTGCTTCGTAGCCTTGAAGTGACCAGAGGGTCCTTCCTGGTCCCTCAGCTCTCACAGCACTTGGGGAGAACTCGACCCGTGTGGGGAACAAATGACCCCTAAGGGTTTTGTCTTACCTGAAGGGCTTTCTCAAGGCTGATTCTCCTCTGGGAATCTCCCTGCTCCTCCGGGCATCTGTATCTCAGTGAAACTGCATCCTCACCCAGCAGAAAATCCAAGAAGCCTTTGATACCCGTTGGTCCCTGGCAGAGAGAAGCCATGCTGCCCGCCCAGGCGGTGCCCCTCACCTCAGCAGTCCTTGGGAGCCTCAAGCAAGTTTGAAAAAAACAAATAATAAAATAGAATCCCTTACCCTTAAATTTTCTACGCTTTCTCACCTAGAAAGAAAAGTACCAAGTGCTGTGTGAAGCTTTGGAGAACAAAGACATCCAGTGGAACAGCAGGGGCCCTGCCAATAAAAGGTGGGGAATGACAGCGCCCGGCAGGAACTGCCATGAGCCTGCGGTGGTTGGTGCTGCCCCCGTGGACGTGGTCCTTGCTGGTTCTCCAACAAGGAGCTCCATCTGCTGATACATCTACTGTCTTTCAGACTCTACGAGGCGGCGGAAGAAGACAGCCTCCCCGACATCCTGAAGAAATTCCTGCAGTTCCTACGCTCCGAGGCTTTGTTTTTACTGCTTTCCAACTTCACCGGCCTAAAGCTCCACTTCCTGGCTCCCTCTGAGGAGGAGGAGGAGGAGGAGGATGCTGGGGAAGGAAGAGCAGCAGACAGCCATGGGGACAGCAGCCCCAAAGCTGAGCAGGAGGAGGCTGATGGTGACGTCCCTGAAACACGAGGCGGCGAGATGCAGAATGGTGAGTCCGGCAGCAGCAGGGAGAAAGGGCAGGAGCAGAATCCTGACTTTAAGGACATTAATCCTGGCAGCAGGATTCCCAGTGACTTTTACAGAACTAGGGTTTCACCAGCACAAACCAGGCACTTGAAGCACGTCAGGCTGGGTGTCCAAAATAAGTGACTATTGCAAAAGAATTGGGGATAAAAACGACCGATTTGAAGATACCGTTTCGAACAGACTTAAGACTCAAGTGTGGGACTCCTGTAGGAGTTAAGGCATGGGTGAGGGGGGTGTGTTAATTAATTGCCCAATAATCTTTTTCCAATAATTACACTCCTGCCTCATCTAAAGTAGATTCTTGTATGAGACCAAATCTAAAGGAAGAAAGCGAACAGAGCGGGAGTAAAGATCACTAGAATTGGAAAACCAATAATCCTTAATCCTAGTTTTAATCCTAAAACTAGGATTAAACCTTTCAGAAAATGGTGCCAGCCTAAATAACCACTTTGTTGTCAGCAATGAGATAATCATTGTTACAAAAGATTTAATTGGCATTCATGGAATGGTGCTGTTTACTTAAAACAGTGCCTCAGAAGGGTAGAATTTTTGAAAATGCTCATCAAGCAAGTTAGCAGATGCTGGAATAGAAGGTAATAAAAACCCAGATCCTACTGAAAAGCCCACCAGAATACTTACCTGGGACAAAAGCTTTGTTTTCCTGATTTCCAGGACTAGTCATTTTGCCTCTTCTACCTGCCACGTTCCTGCTGTATGATTTTAAATTCACATACGAGGAGGGCATAGTTTGAGGCTGCAGGGACTGAAAACTGAGCTAGAGCCATGGGAAAGGAAAAGCTTCCCCAAATTCTGACCTACCTCCTGGGACAGCAAGTGAAGAGTGAGTTCAGAGCAACATCCTTCTTCACTGAATCACAGAATCAGAGTCACAGAATCTTCTAGGTTGGAAGGGACCTTCAAGATCATCTTGTCCAACTGTCAACCTGACTGACAAAAATAGACACCCACACAACAAACAAGAAGCATCCCCATCACTAAACCAGACCTCCCAGCACTGCATCAACCCGTCTTTTGAACACCTCCAGGGATGGTGCCTCAACCACCTCCCTGGGCAGCCCATTCCAATGCCTGATGACCCTTTCAGGGAAAAAATTTTCCTAATATCCAGCCTGAACCTCCCCTGGAGTAACTTGAGGCCATTTCCTCTCGTCCTGTCGCCTGTGACTTGAGATGTGTCCAGGCGGGCCACTCACTACTTTATCTTGTTGATTTGCAGTCTCTGCTGGGGGTTGTCACCTCCTTGTTTTCTGGTTTGTGCTTCGTGTGCACCTGTGCTCTCTGGCAGAACACGGGGAACTGAAAAAATCCCAGATTTTGGGAAAAACACTGCCAAAGCCATCAGGGTGTTATCGACGTTTACCTCACGCTAAAAGACTAAACACAGCACCGTACTGGCTGCTAGGAAAATTACTAAGAAAATTAACTCTATTGCAGCCTAAAGGCTTCAGCAAATCTCCCTGCTCATGCTAAGTAAAGCTAGGCAAACAGCATCAATCACACCATATTATAACCCTAAGTCATTTATTCTAATTAAAACTTACTTATTTAAGCTAAACAACTAATATCACTCAACAGCTGTTGGTTTGGCTGCGGTGACGAGAGAGGTTTTTGTTTGTTTGCTTGTTTTAAAGTAGCTCACAGTGCAGATGCTGTGACACTGCACAAGATTCGGCTTTACCCTCTCTCTAACACAGATGTAACGGGGTTCCCCTGTGCCAGAAACACTGATATGGTTAAGTAGGACTTTGTAGCACTTACCAGAAAGGAGCCTGGAAACAGGATGAATAAGTGTGGGGAACGACAGGATCTGGAGTCTGAAACTCATCCTCGGGCTGTAACAATCAGGGCCAAAGAGCAGGAGGTTAGAGAGGAAGGTCAGTGATGGAGGTTGGGTACATCCTCAGCTAGACCGCTTGGGGTTTCACTTCTGGGTCATTTATGTCTTACATAAATATATAAATAACAGAAGCATCTACTTGGTCACTGCCCTGATTGTTTTCAGGGAGTCATAAAAATCCACATTCCTCTTAGCCTCGTGACTGCCTCCTACTGACCTAAACTTAATCACACCTGTTGGCACTATCCAGTCCTGTGCCCTCTCTCTGATACAGTTAACACAGTCAATAAACCCATCTTAAATCATAAACTTATTTTTAAAATAAGCACCGAGCTGGGAGTGCTGTGAACCAGACCCTCCCAGATCTGGTTGTGCTCAGAGTGATTTGCTGAAGCCCTGCCTCGTTTCTTCCACCCTTTGGTCAGTAAAGCACATTGCTGATGGAGGACTGTGTCAGGGTCAGACCCATACGAAGCCTTTACAGCCTCAAATCCCTCTCAGACATTGGGTGAAGAGCATTTAGTCACTAATTCCTAACAGATCCGTGGTGTATGAAAGGGCCACTCACTCCAGCTCTCAAACAAACAATAGGAGCCAAAAACCTTTCAGAACAAACTCTGTTTCTTCCTCCTGTTCTAAAAACAAAACAAACAAACAAAAAACCCAGTGCAAAGACTTGATGTGCTATTCAGAAATGTACAGTTTGTGGCTTGCAACCAGTCGTAAGGGGGTGGCTTTCTTTTCACACTGCCATAACAGCACAGTGGCCTAGAATGTGAAATTGTTCCATTTAGCCCATTTTACCTCAGTGTGCAGTTTGATGAAATCAAGGTTTAGCTGCCCATCACTCCGCAAAAGCCAAGGGTTCCCACAGACCAGGTAAAAAGCCAGGACAGAGGGGTTGCTCTCAGTCTGACGGATAGATAGACCTTTAATCCAGGGGCAAAAGCATCAGGCAAATGCTCATGATGAAGGCTTGTATTTCAGCACTTTTTAAAAATTAAAAGACAAAAAAGTAGATGGAAGAATGTGAAATTCTTCCATTTAGCCCATCTTACCTCAGTGTGCAGTTTGATGAAATCAAGGTTTAACGGTGCCATCACTCCGCAAAAGCCAAGGGTTCCCACTCTGTTCTAAAAACAAAACAAACAAACAAAAAACCCAGTGCAAAGACTTGATGTGCTATTCAAAAAATGTACAGTTTGTGGCTTGTGACCGGTCATAAGGGGGTGGCTTTCTCTTCACACTGCCATAACAGCACAGTGGCCTAGAATGTGAAATTCTTCCATTTAGCCCATCTTACCTCAGTGTGCAGTTTGATGAAATCAAGGTTTAACGGTGCCATCACTCCGCAAAAGCCAAGGGTTCCCACTGACCAGGTGAAAAGCCAGGACAGAGGGGTTGCTCTGAGTCTGATGGATAGATAGACCTTTAATCCAGGGGCAAAAGCATCAGGCAAATGCTCATGATGAAGGCTTGTATTACAGCACTTTTTAAAAATTAAAAGACAAAAAAGTAGATGGATACAGTCTGCAGTGACCCACAGATGCTCGGTGTTTGCTGAGTTTCCAGATGAAGCTGTGACAGCTAATTTTTGCAGCCTATGGTAGCTGGTTCTTCAACACCACAAAAGGGAGGAAACTAAAATGCCACTGCCTTTAATAATGGAATGACTCACAGCTCTCAGAGAGAAGGAATGGATTCTGCTGGGAGCTTGGAATAAAAGCTTGCACTGGGATTCTGGAAACCTGCAACGGACTTGAGCATCAAAATTTGCTTAAAACCCTCTTTCTGTAAGCCAGGAATAACCCAGCCTGGTCTAGCCCTTGTCTGATTTCTCTGTGTGCGTGGCAGGCTCTCCGGGGTCTCTGCGGTGCCTGTCACCAGCTGGTCCTCACACGGTTTGTGCTCTGAACACTGACACGCTGCCCCGCGTTGTTCCAGGTGTCGGAAGTCCTGTCAGAGGAGAAGTGCCGCTTGTCGGTGAGCGGCTGGTTCCACGGCCCCCCCGTCCTCAGACCCGCACGTCACGTCGAAGCCCCCCTGCCCCGGAGCCCACACATCCCCTACGACGTGAGTAACAACCCCCACTTCTGCTGCTCTGCTTTTTTCTTTCTTTCATATCCCTGAAATACCTGTTACGGGATGCGCTGATGCTTGGGGATGCTTTAAACTTTAACTTATCCATCTTTTTTAAATTTTTTTTTTCCTTTCCTCTCCATAAATTCATAGCTGGTTTCTTTCTTGTATTCCCTTCTCAACTCTGTACGTGTTGCATGCCTGCAGTAGTGCAGAGAAGGCAGCAAATGCTCATGGTGCACTTGAAAACAACAAAAAAAGAAAGGAAGGGAGCGTGTGTGTGGAGGGATCCAGCCCTGCCGCCGGCTGGGGAAGGGGAGACTAGGGAATCCTTTTCATTTTTCCAAATCCAACATTCAAATCCATTTCCCTTCCAGCATGAAATCTTGTATGAGTGGATCAATCCGGTTTATTTGGACATGGACTCCCAAGCTCAAATCCAGGAGGAATTTGAGGAGCGATCAGAAATTCTCCTGAAGGATTTTCTACAGGTGAGCCCAGCGGTTCAATCTGATGTGGTCTCCGGGACAGGTCACGGGGCTGGCAGGTGCCACGTGTCACTCAGGCTGGGAAAGCCCTTCCTTGTCCCCCTGTCAACTTCTTAGTTTCACTCCCTGCTCAGGGAATGGACCAGATGAGCTCCAGAGGTCCCTTCCAGCCTCAACCATTCTGTGATTCTGTGGGTGGATTCCCTCTGCAGGACTCACCAAAAATCAAACACTTCAACATTCCCGTTTCCTACAAGAAGCAAAGCAGGAGGATGCAGACACCTCATCCTTCCTGCTTCGTAGCCTTGAAGTGACCAGAGGGTCCTTCCTGGTCCCTCAGCTCTCACAGCACTTGGGGAGAACTCGACCCGTGTGGGGAACAAATGACCCCTAAGGGTTTTGTCTTACCTGAAGGGCTTTCTCAAGGCTGATTCTCCTCTGGGAATCTCCCTGCTCCTCCGGGCATCTGTATCTCAGTGAAACTGCATCCTCACCCAGCAGAAAATCCAAGAAGCCTTTGATACCCGTTGGTCCCTGGCAGAGAGAAGCCATGCTGCCCGCCCAGGCGGTGCCCCTCACCTCAGCAGTCCTTGGGAGCCTCAAGCAAGTTTGAAAAAAACAAATAATAAAATAGAATCCCTTACCCTTAAATTTTCTACGCTTTCTCACCTAGAAAGAAAAGTACCAAGTGCTGTGTGAAGCTTTGGAGAACAAAGACATCCAGTGGAACAGCAGGGGCCCTGCCAATAAAAGGTGGGGAATGACAGCGCCCGGCAGGAACTGCCATGAGCCTGCGGTGGTTGGTGCTGCCCCCGTGGACGTGGTCCTTGCTGGTTCTCCAACAAGGAGCTCCATCTGCTGATACATCTACTGTCTTTCAGACTCTACGAGGCGGCGGAAGAAGACAGCCTCCCCGACATCCTGAAGAAATTCCTGCAGTTCCTACGCTCCGAGGCTTTGTTTTTACTGCTTTCCAACTTCACCGGCCTAAAGCTCCACTTCCTGGCTCCCTCTGAGGAGGAGGAGGAGGAGGAGGATGCTGGGGAAGGAAGAGCAGCAGACAGCCATGGGGACAGCAGCCCCAAAGCTGAGCAGGAGGAGGCTGATGGTGACGTCCCTGAAACACGAGGCGGCGAGATGCAGAATGGTGAGTCCGGCAGCAGCAGGGAGAAAGGGCAGGAGCAGAATCCTGACTTTAAGGACATTAATCCTGGCAGCAGGATTCCCAGTGACTTTTACAGAACTAGGGTTTCACCAGCACAAACCAGGCACTTGAAGCACGTCAGGCTGGGTGTCCAAAATAAGTGACTATTGCAAAAGAATTGGGGATAAAAACGACCGATTTGAAGATACCGTTTCGAACAGACTTAAGACTCAAGTGTGGGACTCCTGTAGGAGTTAAGGCATGGGTGAGGGGGGTGTGTTAATTAATTGCCCAATAATCTTTTTCCAATAATTACACTCCTGCCTCATCTAAAGTAGATTCTTGTATGAGACCAAATCTAAAGGAAGAAAGCGAACAGAGCGGGAGTAAAGATCACTAGAATTGGAAAACCAATAATCCTTAATCCTAGTTTTAATCCTAAAACTAGGATTAAACCTTTCAGAAAATGGTGCCAGCCTAAATAACCACTTTGTTGTCAGCAATGAGATAATCATTGTTACAAAAGATTTAATTGGCATTCATGGAATGGTGCTGTTTACTTAAAACAGTGCCTCAGAAGGGTAGAATTTTTGAAAATGCTCATCAAGCAAGTTAGCAGATGCTGGAATAGAAGGTAATAAAAACCCAGATCCTACTGAAAAGCCCACCAGAATACTTACCTGGGACAAAAGCTTTGTTTTCCTGATTTCCAGGACTAGTCATTTTGCCTCTTCTACCTGCCACGTTCCTGCTGTATGATTTTAAATTCACATACGAGGAGGGCATAGTTTGAGGCTGCAGGGACTGAAAACTGAGCTAGAGCCATGGGAAAGGAAAAGCTTCCCCAAATTCTGACCTACCTCCTGGGACAGCAAGTGAAGAGTGAGTTCAGAGCAACATCCTTCTTCACTGAATCACAGAATCAGAGTCACAGAATCTTCTAGGTTGGAAGGGACCTTCAAGATCATCTTGTCCAACTGTCAACCTGACTGACAAAAATAGACACCCACACAACAAACAAGAAGCATCCCCATCACTAAACCAGACCTCCCAGCACTGCATCAACCCGTCTTTTGAACACCTCCAGGGATGGTGCCTCAACCACCTCCCTGGGCAGCCCATTCCAATGCCTGATGACCCTTTCAGGGAAAAAATTTTCCTAATATCCAGCCTGAACCTCCCCTGGAGTAACTTGAGGCCATTTCCTCTCGTCCTGTCGCCTGTGACTTGAGAAAACTTACTTATTTAAGCTAAACAACTAATATCACTCAACAGCTGTTGGTTTGGCTGCGGTGACGAGAGAGGTTTTTGTTTGTTTGCTTGTTTTAAAGTAGCTCACAGTGCAGATGCTGTGACACTGCACAAGATTCGGCTTTACCCTCTCTCTAACACAGATGTAACGGGGTTCCCCTGTGCCAGAAACACTGATATGGTTAAGTAGGACTTTGTAGCACTTACCAGAAAGGAGCCTGGAAACAGGATGAATAAGTGTGGGGAACGACAGGATCTGGAGTCTGAAACTCATCCTCGGGCTGTAACAATCAGGGCCAAAGAGCAGGAGGTTAGAGAGGAAGGTCAGTGATGGAGGTTGGGTACATCCTCAGCTAGACCGCTTGGGGTTTCACTTCTGGGTCATTTATGTCTTACATAAATATATAAATAACAGAAGCATCTACTTGGTCACTGCCCTGATTGTTTTCAGGGAGTCATAAAAATCCACATTCCTCTTAGCCTCGTGACTGCCTCCTACTGACCTAAACTTAATCACACCTGTTGGCACTATCCAGTCCTGTGCCCTCTCTCTGATACAGTTAACACAGTCAATAAACCCATCTTAAATCATAAACTTATTTTTAAAATAAGCACCGAGCTGGGAGTGCTGTGAACCAGACCCTCCCAGATCTGGTTGTGCTCAGAGTGATTTGCTGAAGCCCTGCCTCGTTTCTTCCACCCTTTGGTCAGTAAAGCACATTGCTGATGGAGGACTGTGTCAGGGTCAGACCCATACGAAGCCTTTACAGCCTCAAATCCCTCTCAGACATTGGGTGAAGAGCATTTAGTCACTAATTCCTAACAGATCCGTGGTGTATGAAAGGGCCACTCACTCCAGCTCTCAAACAAACAATAGGAGCCAAAAACCTTTCAGAACAAACTCTGTTTCTTCCTCCTGTTCTAAAAACAAAACAAACAAACAAAAAACCCAGTGCAAAGACTTGATGTGCTATTCAGAAATGTACAGTTTGTGGCTTGCAACCAGTCGTAAGGGGGGGGCTTTCTTTTCACACTGCCATAACAGCACAGTGGCCTAGAATGTGAAATTGTTCCATTTAGCCCATTTTACCTCAGTGTGCAGTTTGATGAAATCAAGGTTTAGCTGCCCATCACTCCGCAAAAGCCAAGGGTTCCCACAGACCAGGTAAAAAGCCAGGACAGAGGGGTTGCTCTCAGTCTGACGGATAGATAGACCTTTAATCCAGGGGCAAAAGCATCAGGCAAATGCTCATGATGAAGGCTTGTATTACAGCACTTTTTAAAAATTAAAAGACAAAAAAGTAGATGGATACAGTCTGCAGTGACCCACAGATGCTCGGTGTTTGCTGAGTTTCCAGGTGAAGCTGTGACAGCTAATTTTTGCAGCCTACAATAGCTGGTTCTTCAACACCACAAATGGTAGGAAACTAAAATGCCACTGCCTTTAATAATGGAATGACTCAAAGCTCTCAGGGAGAAGGAATGGATTCTGCTGGGAGCTTGGAGTAAAAGCTTGCACTGGGATTCTGGAAACCTGCAACGGACTTGAGCATCAAAATTTGCTTAAAACCCTCTTTCTGTAAGCCAGGAATAACCCAGCCTGGTCTAGCCCTTGTCTGACTTCTCTGTGTGCGTGGCAGGCTCTCCGGGGTCTCTGCGGTGCCTGTCACCAGCTGGTCCTCACACGGTTTGTGCTCTGAACACTGACACGCTGCCCCGCGTTGTTCCAGGTGTCGGAAGTCCTGTCAGAGGAGAAGTGCCGCTTGTCGGTGAGCGGCTGGTTCCACGGCCCCCCCGTCCTCAGACCCGCACGTCACGTCGAAGCCCCCCTGCCCCGGAGCCCACACATCCCCTACGACGTGAGTAACAACCCCCACTTCTGCTTCTCTGCTTTTTTCTTTCTTTCATATCCCTGAAATACCTGTTACGGGATGCGCTGATGCTTGGGGATGCTTTAAACTTTAACTTATCCATCTTTTTTAAATTTTTTTTTTCCTTTCCTCTCCATAAATTCATAGCTGGTTTCTTTCTTGTATTCCCTTCTCAACTCTGTACATGTTGCATGCCTGCAGTAGTGCAGAGAAGGCAGCAAATGCTCATGGTGCACTTGAAAACAACAAAAAAAGAAAGGAAGGGAGCGTGTGTGTGGAGGGATCCAGCCCTGCCGCCGGCTGGGGAAGGGGAGACTAGGGAATCCTTTTCATTTTTCCAAGTCCAACATTCAAATCCATTTCCCTTCCAGCATGAAATCTTGTATGAGTGGATCAATCCGGTTTATTTGGACATGGACTCCCAAGCTCAAATCCAGGAGGAATTTGAGGAGCGATCAGAAATTCTCCTGAAGGATTTTCTACAGGTGAGCCCAGCGGTTCAATCTGACGCGGTCTCCGGGACAGGTCACGGGGCTGGCAGGTGCCACGTGTCACTCAGGCTGGGAAAGCCCTTCCTTGTCCCCCTGTCAACTTCTTAGTTTCACTCCCTGCTCAGGGAATGGACCAGATGAGCTCCAGAGGTCCCTTCCAGAAACACCTTCTTAGTTTCACTCCCTGCTCGGGGAATGGACCAGATGAGCTCCAGAGGTCTCTTCCAGCCTCAACCATTCTGTGATTCTGTGGGTGGATTCCCTCTGCAGGACTCACCAAAAATCAAACACTTCAACATTCCCGTTTCCTACAAGAAGCAAAGCAGGAGGATGCAGACACGGTGGATTCCCTCTGCAGGCACACCGTTCTGGAGGGACTCACCAAAAATCAAACACTTCAACATTCCCGTTTCCTACAAGAAGCAAAGCAGGAGGATGCAGACACCTCATCCTTCCTGCTTCGTAGCCTTGAAGTGACCAGAGGGTCCTTCCTGGTCCCTCAGCTCTCACAGCACTTGGGGAGAACTCGACCCGTGTGGGGAACAAATGACCCCTAAGGGTTTTGTCTTACCTGAAGGGCTTTCTCAAGGCTGATTCTCCTCTGGGAATCTCCCTGCTCCTCCGGGCATCTGTATCTCAGTGAAACTGCATCCTCACCCAGCAGAAAATCCAAGAAGCCTTTGATACCCGTTGGTCCCTGGCAGAGAGAAGCCATGCTGCCCGCCCAGGCGGTGCCCCTCACCTCAGCAGTCCTTGGGAGCCTCAAGCAAGTTTGAAAAAACCATAATGAAATAGAATCCCTTATCCTTAAATTTTCTACGCTTTCTCACCTAGAATTCCCGTTTCCTACAAGAAGCAAAGCAGGAGGATGCAGACACCTCATCCTTCCTGCTTCGTAGCCTTGAAGTGACCAGAGGGTCCTTCCTGGTCCCTCAGCTCTCACAGCACTTGGGGAGAACTCGACCCGTGTGGGGAACAAATGACCCCTAAGGGTTTTGTCTTACCTGAAGGGCTTTCTCAAGGCTGATTCTCCTCTGGGAATCTCCCTGCTCCTCCGGGCATCTGTATCTCAGTGAAACTGCATCCTCACCCAGCAGAAAATCCAAGAAGCCTTTGATACCCGTTGGTCCCTGGCAGAGAGAAGCCATGCTGCCCGCCCAGGCGGTGCCCCTCACCTCAGCAGTCCTTGGGAGCCTCAAGCAAGTTTGAAAAAACCATAATGAAATAGAATCCCTTATCCTTAAATTTTCTACGCTTT